ATTGTACAGTGCTACCTTGACGAAACGGTGCCCCACCTTAGGAAGGTTCAAGTGTTTGTTTTGGGGTTGAGAGCCCAAAATTGAGGTTCAAAAAAATGTCACATATGCCGCCCGCTTGTGTGAAAAGAAAAAAAAAAAAAACAATTGGAGAAATTGGAGAGCGGGTGTCACGACGCTCCTTTATTTCTTTAAATAATTAGTTTTTAAATTAATGGCATTTAAATTAATTTCAATGGGGAACATTCGTGTGATATGCGAGCAGATCAAGTCACGTGTTTGGTCAAGGAATGATTTAAACACTGAGGGCAAGGTACCACTGTACTGGATGCTTAAAGAGCACAGATACATCAATCAGCACTGTCATCATAAGCTCTAGAAATCCATTCAGCCATTTCAGTCTTTTTAAAGTGAAAGGAGATATCCGGGTTTGACGTTTTAAAAGGCCTAACCCGGTGTTTGTTAGTCAAATCAGCAGGCTTTGAATATTAGATGCGAGCAAATCATGGATTCCGGTGCAATGTCGGCAGTTTTTGTAAACGTCAGCGGTGAAAAGGCCTGACAAGGAGACAGCGCAAGAGACTTGCTGAGTACACAGGAAATTAGCCCCGGGGGGAGTCCATTTTGCTGTGAAGGTACCCAAAATGGAGGCAAAAGGCTAATCATGGGGTTACATGGCTTTTGTTGAAATTTTGGAATTTTTAAGTAGGTGACGGGCTCACCGGGGTTGAGTTTTGCTTTTTCTTGGGCTGGTGGATTTTTTTTTTTTTATTTTTGCTTCATGGAGTTGGACTAATTTTTATTCAAGCATCGATATTCAAACATCTTAATTCTGCAAATCAAAGCCAGACCCTTTCCGATCTCGCAGCAGCTTCCATTTCCTGATCTGTGGTTACCATCACCAAACGGTTGTACAAGTGTAAAAAGAAGTTAATCACTGCTTGACATAACGCAGACTACATGTCTTTGAAGACACCTAACAGAGGGTAATGGACAATAAACTATGTTCTTCTTTGGAAACTTGTCGTGTTATTTTCTCGCCAGTCATTAGCCATTATGCTAGCAACAATTGCATCTGCCTGACACCTGAAACAAAGTGAACAAACGTCGCAATGTTTCTCTCTGCCATCACAGGTAGCCGTAGAAAAGCTAAAGAACGATGCGACAACAAAGTACACAGGTTCCATCGTACTTGAGCTATGACGTGTATAGTAATGGCTCACCGTCTTTACCGTCGACGGTCCGGACGACCATGTCGCTGGCGTCGAAGGTGTCCTGTGCCTGCTGCCCGCGAAAGTGGCTGAGGTGCTCGCATTCAATAAGGTCGCTCTCGTCCTCCTCTAGGGGCAGCCATGTGCCGTCGATGAACCACTGGCCTCGCAGCACCGGAATGTGGTCTTGCTCTGCCAAAATAAAAAAATATATAAAATAAAATAGAAAACAACACGCATGGAATGCGTAGACATCACCAAGAGGCTGGATTTCATCTCTGGTGATGCTCTGCTGGGCTTCTATTCCGACTGTTTGCAATTATTTGTTTGTTCTTCAGATATTTTCCCTTCAGAAAAGTGAATTTGCTCGAATTTGAACATGCTAGAATTTGATCACTTCTCATCAAATGAGTTCAATATTGTTTTCCCCCCATCAGCAACTAATTGCATAGAAACAAATCGATCGTCACGCCCTTGGCTACTACTGCTCATGAATACCCGGTACTCGCTGCAGTTGCGTAAACTACTGTGCCAAGCTACTATATGAGAAAATAGGTTACGTCACTACTTTTCTGCAAAGGGCTGATAGTAATTTAACGCAGACAAATCCAGCGGGGCCAAGTCTCATTGGCTTATGGAGTTGGGCCAGCTGTGATTAGTCTCCCACATTAATCAGTCTGCTGCCGCAGTGACTAATGACAAGGATGATAATAATAATACACACGTGGCTCAAAGAATATTTCAATGAGCAGAATCTCTCTTCAGGAATTGACGAATGAGAAGGATGTGCAACCACAAACAGGAGAGAGTATAAAGTCATAACATGACAAGCTGCAGACAGGGAAACATCCAAACACTGACAATTATGTGCAGGCTTGTTTGTTAAGGTGTTCGGGCAAGATTAGATAACGCTGTGTGTTTGTGTTGTACTTCATCAATGTGTCGACTCTCCAAATGAAGACTTCTTGCCTTATAAGGAACATCCAGAGGGAGTAAACTAGAATCAGTAAAAGAGTCCAAAATGTCTGTATAACAGGGTTAAAGGGATACTTACGTTTCCAGTAAACAGGGTAGCATCCTCTCTCTCTGACGTCCACTTCATAGAGTCCCCCCCTGACACAGACGGGCTCCACATGGACGTCAATGCTGTCGGGGTCTCTCTCATCCGTGCTCATGGACGGTGTGGATGTGTCCAAAGACCCGTGGTCTCCGAGGACGCCCATGGTCCGGGTTTCCACCGACATTTCTCCATTCGCTCCCTGAACGTCCACCGGGAGGCTCGCCGCACCGGGGTTGAGCTCGTTATACTTCCGATACATGAGCTCGATGTTCAGCGAGTCGTGTCCCACAAAGGGCTTCCACGTCTTCTTGTCCTCCTTGTAGAACCAGCGCACCTCCTCGGGACCCAGCTCGGCCACCACTTCGCCGAAGTGGTGCCTGGAGCTGTTGGAGCGCGACCGCTTCCGTCTTTCGAACAGCGGGCCCTCGCCGTTGACGTCGCCCACGTAGGGTGAGGCGGCGGGCGGGCAACCGAGATCCTCGAGGAGCCGGAGCCCGCCCCGGTCGTCCAGACCGGGCTGAACGGACGACATCCCGGGCAGCACGGCTTCGTCCATGGGGCTCATGTCTTGACAGCACTCACACCCATCACTACCTACCGAGTGCCACTTTTTATTGTTGTTATTAGCCGCCGTATGTCCCTCCAGGGGACATTGTTTGTCTTTTAAAGACCTAATGACACAATTGTTCATAACTATCTGAGCCACTTAGCATCACTCCAGCTAGGTAGCTAACGAGCTAGCCGCGGCGAACGAAGCCGGTAGAAGTCCGAGGCTAGCTTATTAGTGACGGCTACGGCTATATCTCACTTCAAACCCTTCATGTAAACCGGTTTTCCCGGGGCGCTTTAATCCAATGTGGCGACCACTTTGCGGTCATGTTACTTTTTAAACGTCCTTGATGAGTTTCTTCTGCTAAATTCAAAGGGAGTAGAAGGAGACGTTATAGTCCATTGTGAGTGGTGCGCGTTCGCAGCTTGACAGCTGTGACGCATTGACGCGAGAGCGCGCACGTTTAAACTGCGCGAACGTCCGACATCGTGTTCTGTCCATTAGATGGCGAGAAAGGCCAGCCAATGGCGACAAAGCCGTGTTTTAGAACTGCAGTACCACCTTCCTTCGCTAGATGTCGACAATTACCGTTTGTAACGATGCTCTGATAGATAGATAGATAGATAGATAGATAGATAGATAGATAGATAGATAGATAGATAGATAGATAGATAGATAGATAGATAGATAGATAGATAGATAGATAGATAGAGTTCTCAAAAGTTTGGGTTCAGGACCTATACACTAGCACAATATACACTTAGGTAAAAGGAGAGAGAGAGAGAGAGAGAGAGAGAGAGAGAGAGAGAGAGAGAGAGAGAGAGAGACGAATAAATGATAACCCTACATGAAGAAAGTAGTAGATGTTGTTGTTTTCCCCCCCCAAAAAACTCTACAGTATTGTTACCCCAAACAAAAACTGTATTGTTGCAGGAATTAAGTCATTTTTTGGGGAACAAGTGTATTTTTTTATAGTCCCATTTATTAGAAAATAAATGTTTCCTTTCCAGAATAAAATGTGCAGTATTCCAAGAATAAAGTTGTATTTTGGAAATTCACGCTCACTTTCATATGACAAATTTATCATAACTTTATCTTTGAAAAATACCGCTTTGAATTTTTTTTCTCTTCTCAGGATAAGCATGCAAAGGGTGGGTTAATAATAGCGCAGTGGTACCGTGCATCCACCTGTGGGGTGCAAAAATGTTGCAAAACCTGTTTAATTCTTTCCAATCTATCAATCTATAACTCTTATCTCCAGTACCAATTGATAAGATGAAGTGGTACATTCTAAAAAACATGTTACTTTTTGGAGGGAGGGGCTAATACGAATGAATGTCATTTACATTAATTTCAATGGAAAAAGTTGATTCGAGACACGAGTGAAGTTACGAGTGTGGTCACAGAACAAATCAAGCCAAGGTACCTTTGTATCGTTTTTTTTTTTTTTAACAAATACAGGTACATACTGTTTCGTGTATGTGTGTAGGGTGCTGGTAGACAGAGTGGAATACTTTGAAAGAGGCCCAGGCAGCTGGAATAAACAGACATTACCCTGCTGTGTTCTAATTTACTGGAGAGTGGGAATTAAAGTGTAGACAAGTCCCCTCCCCTCCATGACGGAAGAGGATTTGGGCCAGTGAAGGAAAAAAAAAAGGTTGCCAAGATTCTCACTTTTAGCTCAAAATTCTGACTTTATTCTCAGAATTCTCACTTTAAAGTCAGAATTACATTAAATTCAATTAAAAAAAAGTTGATTTGACAATTCTGACTTTAATGTCAGAGAATGTCACTGGAAAAAGTTGATTTGAGAATTCAGATTTTAAAGTACAGGTATCACTTTAAAATCAGAATTCTGACTTGATTCTCAGAATTCTCACTGTGTGATGTACGTGGAACTTTGAATTGTGCGTTGGGGGGGTGTCAGAGTGTGGTTTGTCTTTGGTGAGAGGACTTTTTTTTTTTTGCATAGCCGAGGATTGTCACTTTTGGAGGAGCAGAGGGTGAGTAAACAGTACGTCGTGTTCATTTGCTGGCTGTTGTGTTCATAACTGATGTGCTCCATGTATCTTGTATCTCCGTTGCTCGTTCATATTTCATGAAGGGATGCGCCCCATTTACGACAAGCACTTACACAACAAGGATGATTTAAGCGTCACCTAGCCCTAAATTGGCCGTTTTGATATCAAATTCGTGGCCTACATGTCAAGCAAAAAACTGTTTCTCAAAAGCTATTTTTTGAGTGATCCACAGCACTGGAACTCGTGGGACATCTACATGACATCATGATGACAAATCAGGTGTGTTCCACATCAGAAAATAATGTAAAACAATCCCAGAACTTTAAAAATGTGATTGAAAATGATGTAATGTAATACCAGGCCAGTAGGTGGCAATGTCACGACACAGTAACGCTCGTTTTGAAAAAGGTCCTATTTCCCTACTCAAGAAATGCTGTCATGTAAACAAAATAACCCTAAATAAATCTTTAGGCTCAATTTAAACAAGAATGTTGTTGTAAAACCATATTGATTTTTTTGGGGGGGTGGGCGGTGTTTTTCACTTTTTACTTCCAGACTGACAACCCCCCCCAAAAAAAGACAAAAATGTCAGGCCACAAGGTAGCTCCAAAATTACATTTAAATTTAAGTCTTTTTCACATTTACATAGGAACAGTAATGTTCCTGAAAAAAAATCTATGACAAAGTAGATTTGGGGGAGTGGAGGGGGGGGGGGATCGAACATTTTGTGTTGAATCAGTTGACAAATTGTGAGTTTAAACATTTTGGAGTTTGAATGGTTTGAAAAGTAATCCTTTTTATGAACGGCTAACATCTTTAAGTTCAACATCTTTAAGTTCAAGTCTCTATTAACTGGAATTTGCTCATGGAAAATATAGATTTTTAAAAAAAAAATACTGTTATTAGAATGTTGAAAATCTTTCAAGTTAGAATTTTTCTTCACTGTGGAAGATGTGGAATTATGGGAAAAGTCAACATTTGCAGGATGTGAAAAACTGTTTGTTGCACGGATGTTCAAAATGAGCGTCACATTCCCACATTGGAATGGTTTTGAGTTGCTTAAGAAACATGGACGTTGTTGTAAAACATTAGTGGTTAGTCATGTTTTGCAAGCACCTGCAAGAGTGGATGAGCAACAAAGCACACATTTTCCTTCCAGTAAGTGAGCCAACAGATATTTATAACCAGCTGCTCACCTCTCTTCCCCTCCTCTGCTGTCCTTATAGAGTTCTGCCTTTAAAGAGCACCCTTGTCACTTGTTGCCTTTGTTCTTGGACAAAGACAACTTGCCCTTCATCTGCCCTTAATTGGGCCCTGGGACTCTTGGAATGCGCTTGATGTCTCCGCTCCAATAGACAGCAGTTGAAAATGCAACCAAGCGTCTCGACATATATCCTAGCATTTTGTTCATTGTGTTCGTAAAGGTTAAAAAAATAATAAATAAAGACCCATCTAAAAGTTGACCCAATTTGGTGCCCGAGCAGCTTGACCTCCTCACGAGTACCTGGTCAGCCTTGAAGTGAAATGGAACAGCTTGAAATGACAAAAATAAACACCTGCGCTAACATTAGCTTCTCTTGTTGAGTCCACAGTCTCCACTTCACTGCAGTACCACATTTTCTCACTGCCCTCAATCTCCTTTCGGATAAACAATTGTAGAACTGGCCCAGGTCATCTCTTGGATAACATCTGTCAAAGTGACAAAATATATAAACACACATGCTAACATGTTTAGCTCTGGATATTGCAGTTTTATAGTCCACAGTGTACTTTTTACTGAAGAGCTGTGTTTCCTCACTGCCCTCAGTCTCCTCTCGGAAAAATGTATCAAAATTATAAAATTATTAGACATGCTAAAACACTTAGCTCTTGAGACTGCAGTACTCCAGTCTCCACATTGCCACAGACCACTGTTTTCTAGCTGCCCTTATACACACACACACACACACACACACACACACACACACACACACACACACACACACACACACACACACACACACACACACACACACACACACACACTTTTACCTCGTGATGAGGCAGCTGGCCTTCCAGCAGGCGGGCCAGGCTCAGCACCGTTTTCTTCATCCGTTTTTCATGCTGCCCTCTTCTCAGATTCAATTTGAAATGACTAAATATTAAACACATATTCTAACGCGCTTAGCTTTGAACACTGCACTATTATATTCACTTCCTGCGAAGTAAACACAGGAGACCCTGGTTCCTCCACTGCTTTGCCCGCGTGATGCATTCAATGCGTTGCATGGCTTTTGCAGTTTCCTGTAAAAAGCTGTGTTGCGGAGCACGTTTTCAAGGCCAAATGTGTCACTCACGGTTACGCCGTGCGACGCTGACCATGCACACATGGCTAACCCTCCTTTTGCCGCATTGTTAGCCAAGGGGAAGCAATTTAGCCCGTTGAAATTCCACTCGCAAATTATTTTCAAACGGTAGTTGGCAGTCTACCAAAAAAACAACACCAACAAAAAAGGTCTGTAATTTTTTTTTTCATTAATAGCAACTAAATCGTCAACTCTGGCAAGCATTAGGGGCGTGTCATGTTCGAGGCGTGTGGGAAATCTCGGCAGATTAGCTAGGAAATTTGTACCAATCAAGTGAAATGCTAGAGGACTTTGTGCAACTGCAAATGTGATTTTGTGTGCGTGTGTGCGTGTGTGTGTGTGTGTGTGTGTGTGTGTGTGTGTGTGTGTGTGTGTGTGTGTGTGTGTGCGTGTGTGTGTGTGTGTGTGTGTGTGTGTGTGTGTGTGTGTGTGTTTGGTACTAGCTTACAACCAAAGAGCTGCTACGTGCCGCAGTCTCCACACACATGATAATCTTCTTAACTCTTGGCACAGCAGGGTTATACTCCACAGTTCCAAATTTGTTGCAGTTCCCCATTTTGTTGCTGCCCTCAGTCTCTTCTTGGATAAAATTTTGTCCAAAAAAAAATCCCACCACTCATGCCAAAATAGTTAGCTCTGGATACTGTGCATGCAGTATTATACTCCACAGTCTCCACTTTGCTTTGGTTCATGCCCTCAGTGTCCTCTTGGATAACATTTGGACAAATGACCCAAAACCAATAAAAAACACATGCAAACATGCTTAGCTTTGGACACAGTAGTATTACACTTCGCCGTCTCGATGATATTGCTGCAGTGCCCCGTTTTCTCACAGCCCTCAGTCTTCTCTTAGATTTAAAAAAAAAAAAAAAAAAACCTACAACAAAAAAGCCCCAAATTATTTTCATAAAAGAGCAACGAATCTTCAACTATGGCGATCATTAGGAGCATGTCACATCTGAATCGTGTGTAAAATCTCGGCAGATGAGCTGCTAAATTTCTGACAATCAAGGGAAATGTTTGGAGGATTTTCACGTGTGTGTGTGTATTTGTGTGTGTTCAAGCAACCTTGTCCATGCCCTTTAGTGTTGGTCATGACTCATTTACTCCTGAATCC